ATGAAAAGTATATGCATCAGTGCATGAAGCAGAAGGGAAAATAGAGAAGGAGTTAACAGCAGTAACGTCGTTATTTGTTTGCCATTATTGAAATGTAACGGCACTAAACTGCTATATAAATATATTTTGCATTCTACATTGGACTGGAAAAAAGCAATAGATGTAAAACATTTTGTAAGGAACTTATGTAATTCTTTTTAACCATATGTTCAAGTCTGATACTGGGCTAAATGTGGACCAAATCTGACGGGCAAAACAACCACGTCGATATTTGGTCTATATTTGGACCAAATCCGAGGGGCAAAACAACCACGTCGATATTTGGTCTATATTTGGACCAAATCCGACGGACGAAACCAAGACCACGTCGATATTTGGTCTAAGTTTGGACCAAATCCGACGGGCAAAACAACCACGTCGATATTTGGTCTATATTTGGACCAAATCCGACGGACAAAACAAAGACCACGTCGATATTTGGTCTATGTTTATACGAAATCCAACGGGCAAAACAACCACGTCGATATTTGGTCTATGTTTGGACCAAATCCGACGGGCAAAACAAAGACCACGTCGATATTTGGTCTATGTTTGGACCAAATCCGACGGGCAAAACAACCACGTCGATATTTGGTCTTTGTTTAGACCAAATCCGACGGACAAAACAAAGACCACGTCGATATTTGGTCTATTTTTAGACCAAATCCGACGGACCAAATACAAACCAAATTTCGACGTCGAAATTTGGGCTAAATAAAGTCTATGACGGGCCGACTTGATTTAGCCCAAAAAACGACGTCGAAATGACGTCTCGTGCTGGGTGGGATGTGAAGTTTACATAATAATATAATAAAGTTTATAATAAAACCAGCATCTTTTAAAGAGCGATGCTCAACATAAAAACCCAAAATCACATGTTCATAAGATACGGAAAATGATGTTAAGATTTAATGAGCAATAAAAGCTTCAACATTAATGCAAAAATATGGAGTATACAGTGTTGGGGAGTAACTAGTTACATGTAACGCCGTTACGTAATTTAATTACAAAATAAAAGTAACAGTAATTAGTTACAGTTACTAAGAAAAATATGTAATTAAATTACAGTTACTTTTGAAAATGTAAAAAATTACAAATGGGGTTACATCTAATAATTTTCTTAAAATCTCTGTGATATGTTGAATAATATTAATCTATTGCTTTGCCTGTTTTTGATATGCACGATGGCTTCTGCTAAGGCCATTTATTCAAGCCCTGATGTGTTTGATTTGCGGCGCAACCACGTCCGTAAATCCCGGGGGGAACATGTTCATTGTCCTCCTCACCAAATAAAATATATAAATATATATGTATATATAAACGCACTCTCTATTTTGAAAAATATATGTGTGTATACCTAAAATAATTGTCTAAGTAGAAAAAAAAACGCATTTATTATTTAAAATGCATTTAGAAAGAGTTCACCCCCGCTTCCTCATAGTGGTTTGACATTAAATAAATCGATTCTCTTCAAAGTTAATGCAAAATCATTTATAAATTAGTTGCGGCAAAAATGCAGATTACCGATGTCCAATCTGCTGCATTAGCGGTTAAAATTACTCATGTAGTTAACGTATGCTTGTTTAGCTTACGTTAGTGGTGCACTGCAAAATAATACGCCAAAGTGCATTGTTTCATTTGTGACGACTTAGCATAATGTTAACTTTACATTAACGGCCACAATTAGCATATTGTTTATCTGTGGATTTGCTAAATGAGCACTGTGCTACGTCCAAACTAGCCCCACTTTATTTTTTGTATAATCAATTTCAGTTCTGTTCTGAGGTGACTAAATTAATTTAAAATATAAAATGTCCTTGTTTTTATTGTTGTGATGATTTTTATGATAGTTTTTTATTATTTATGTAAAGCACTTTGAATTAGCATTGTGTATAAAATGTGCTACAGTATAAATAAACTTGCATTGCAGTGTCATGGACTAGATAAAATGATTGAGGTAAAGTTGGTTTTATATTCGCACATTCATTCAGTGACAGCTTCATACACTGTTTACCATGGTACTTTGAATATTTGAACTGAAATCTCATGCAAGTTTGACTTCAAAACAACATTAATAATAATAATAATACATTTTATTTGTATAGCACTTTTCCTACATACATGGAACTCAGGGCACTTCACAAACAACAAACAGGCATTGTAAAATAAACCAAATACAAAAAAATGTATATTAGACAATTAAAGCAAAATATATACTCAGATAAAAGCATACATGTACACGCATATATGCATACATCTACACAATCACACACAATATTCTTTACATACATGCACACACACCGTACATGCATATGTACATAAACCAACACGATATAGATATATTGCATAAACTTCACAAACTTATATTCATACGTAATTTTAAAAAGGTGCTTCTTAAGCTTTTTAAAAATAAATTCTGGTGGATTCTTTCACTTCATTTGGGAGACAATTCCAAGATTTTGCAGCATAATGACTAAAAAAAGTGCCGCCAGATCGCATCAGATTTACAAAGTGAAATTCTAAAAGTCGAGTGCTAGAAGAGCGTAGCAAACGGTTTGGATTATATTTTGATAAGCAGTCAGAAGAGTATAAAAGGTATCATGTTGTGTAGTGCCTTATAAACTAATAAAATAATCCTAAAATTTATTCTATTAATGCTGCTGTGATATGTTCTTGTGTCTTCAATTTCAATAAAACTCTGGCTGCTGTATTTTGTATCAGTTGCAACGTCTTTATAGAACCTTTAGGTAAACCAATATAATATTAACACTAACTGTAAACAATGCTGTACTTTGATGGTTGTTGGCTGCTAATATAATTTTACTATTTAGAATTTCCAATGAATACTCTTCTAAGGTTATATTATGAGAGACTGAATGTGCAAATATAAAACCAACTTTACCTCAATGATAAAATGACAGAGAAAAGGAAAATGGACATAAGATCATTTTACAGTGCAGCAAAACTCCAAGTACAAAAAGTTCACATATTAAGCAATTTGGCTTTCAGAATGAGTGCTTATGAAAATACTAATGTCACATTATCATTATCACAGGCAGAGGAGAAAGAACTGATTGAGGAACAGGCAGAGCAGGGTCAGTCAGATATACAGTGTCAGGTAAGGGTGTTGTGCTTTATTGAAGGGATAATGACAATTCTTTTAGGGGTGAACAATTTTTTAAAATGTTTTCTGAGCTGTGGCTGTTTAGCAGATGAACCTCACAGGCTCGCCAATTTACAATATGATCTCTCAATTTAACAAGTGTAATGTAAACCAGTTAGTTATTATGAGTATGGAAAACGTCTTTTCCTGCATTTATTTGGCTTCAGGAGTCAGTCTCTTGACTGTAAACAACACAACAAACAATGCAATAAATAGTTTTCAAGAAAAATTTGCTTTGTCATTGAACCTGAGAAAAACTTTGAAAATAACCAAAATGATGTAGTGTCCATGCTGTAATATGAACAATAAAACCATTTTTAACTGTGGGGACATATCTTTAGAAGTACAATTCAGCTGTATTATTTGTGTCGCCTTCAAAAAATCTTTAAAAAATTGCTCATAAGAAATGTTATATTTATTGTCCCCCTACTGTTAAATCAAATTAATGTCATGGGCGCACCATGTCTAATCCTCCTTGCCATTGAAAAGCATGAGGAAGCATCTGCAGGTATGTAAGCTAGCGTTTCTTTGTTTTATAAAAGCAGATGTTTTTGTCGTTATCGTGAGTGTACAGAAATAAAAACAGACCCTTTCATTTCTAATGATATATTATGATTTATAAAGTTATCGATTTGTGAATTTCAGGGCACCAGCAGACTCCTCTGGCCAAAGTGATGTTATCACATTACCAGTGTAGCTAGCTTAACTACATTTCTCAGTAGCGTGACGATAGCGTCGCTAAAAAATCAAATAGCTTTTCACAGTAGCGAAGCTATTTTATTAGTGAAGTAGCGCAGTAGTGTCTACACAAGCTACATTTACAGATCGCGGATCAATACTGTTTAAAATGTGTAACACCTGGTGTTATTGGATTGTTTTGTTTTTGCTGTTATGTACTATAATTTATTCCTGTTTGGTACAGCATATTATTTACAGTAAATAATTGAAATGAACAGTTCTGCCTCATATGTTTCATTGGCAGTTTTATTGATCACTAAGATTGATTTGGATTTAAGTGGCTTCGATTTAAAAAATTAAAAATTAGATGTATTTTTTTATTGCAAATGCCACATAAATCACCTGCACAGCTAACTAACATTGTGATTTTGTAACAACAGTAAACATGTTTTTGTGATATGGTCTGGTTTTGTGGTGGCTCTACTTTAAATTTAAATAAATTAAATTAATTTTATTTAAGTGATGAAAGCTTTTGAAATTCTAACAGTAAACAGAGCTACTGTAAGCTCACTCCTACTCTGTATAAATGCTTGAAAATTATTTAGTTGAAAATGTTTATTAGAAAATTAAAAGTAATCAAAAAGTAATCAAATGTAATTAGTTACTTTACTTTTATAAAGTAATCGAAAATTACTGTAACTTATTACATTTTAAATAGGGTAATTTGTAATCTGTATTCTATTACATTTCCAAAGTAACCTTCCCAACACTGCTCACACACAGCTACACAATTTCACACACACACACACACACACACACAAAACACACACACACTCTCTCTCTCTCACACACACACAGCTACACACTCTCTCAAACTCTCTCACTCACACACATGCACATACAAACAGACACACGGACATACACGCACACACTCTCTCTCACACACACACACACACACACACACACACACTTGGACACACGCACACACTCTCTCTCACACACACACACACACAGTCTGTCTCTCTCACTCTCTCACTCACACAAACAAACACACACACACACACACACACAGCTGCTGACTGCTCCTGCAGAGGATTCTGGGTAAATCTCTCATCAGTCTTCAGCTCAGTTTCACTGATGATCCAGGATAAACAGTAAACCCAGGCCAGAGCGGCTCAGTGAATGTGGTCTGGACTGAGTGGATGAGGCTCATTGTGTCTCTATAGATGTTGTAGAAGATCAGAGTTCCTGCACTGTGATCCACAAACACTCCTATTCTCCTGCTGAGCGCCTTCACTGGGAGATCAGTGCGTGTGTTATTGTGACTGAATGAGAAACTGGAGGAATCACAGAACAAACTCCAGGACTGAGCATTAGATCCAAACTCACACTCATCACCTCCTCCCTTCCTCCTGATGCTCTTATATGACACTGATATACACACACCAACATCTCCACTCCAGTCAATCTCCCAGTAACAGCGTCCACACACACTCTCTCTGCACAACACCTGAGAATAATCATCAAATCTGTGTGGATGATCAGGATACGGCTGATTCTCTCTCACACACTTCACCTCTCTGTTCTCCTCAGACAGAATGAGTTGAGTGTGTGCTGTGTTTGGATCCAGAGTGAGGAAACAGACATCTGAACAAAAGAACACACACATTTACAACCACATCTGTGTGTGTGTGTGTGTGTGTGTGTGTGTGTGTGTGTGTGTGAGAGAGAGGGAGAGTGTGTGTGAGAGTGAGGGAGAGTGTGCATGCGTGTGTTTGTGTGCACATGTGTTTACTTCTGTGTGTGTGTGTGTGTGTGTGTGTTAGAGAGAATGAGCATGTGTGAAAGTGACTGTGTGTGTGTGTGTGTGAAAGTGACTGTGTGTGTGTGAGACAAAGTGAGCGTGTGCGTGTGTGTGTGTAATGTAAATGTAATGTAATGTAATGTGTGTGTAGTCCTACATTTGTGTAGTCCAGCTGTAATCCTCGTCTCTCCTCCATGATCCAGACTGTAAACACACACAGATAGAAATTCAGTCAGTACACAAACATCAGCTTATAACACACACACACACACACACACACGCGCACACACAATAAGACATGTGGAGTGTGTGCTGAATGCTGGATTGTGATTGGCTGATCTCAGTGCATTGATAACTGCAGTAAAACAACATGAGTGTGTGTGGAGCTGTCAAATCAGCTTCTGAATGACACACAGAGCTTTTAGATCAGATGTGGAAACAGAAAACAGAATGGAAACACAGAAACAGACAGATATAAAGACTGAAGGATTCATTCAATGATCAATTGACAAAAGCGCAGCACAATAATAAAGCAGAATTCAGTGTTAAATGACTTGAAATATGATGGAGATCTTCATCTTCTGTCAAATGCCTCTTCATCATCTCCAAACATTGCTAAGTTGGAGAGCAGTGAATCCAGACCAATCTGCAGTCCTCCTCGCCCTTTGAAAGCTTGGTGGGTTTGTGTTCTGTTTATTGTTCATAATACTTCAGTTATAAAGGATTAGTTTAGGAGTTTTTTGTCATTTGCTTTATTTGAGTTTGTTCAACATGTGATTGTCACTGGACTATATCAGAACCAGCATCACTGTCTGCTGATCACTTTTATTGCCTGATATTTTGTGTTCATGTTAGTTTAGAAGCAGAAAAGAGCCAGATTACAAGATATGTGAGATTTTTGCCAGAAACATCTTTGTTATGTCCACATTGTGAATGTAAATTTATATTGTTTATTTTCATCCTGTTTATAGTTTTACTCCGCCCTTATTAAAGTGTGATAAAGGACATTCTGTGTCTGTGAAGTTCATGAGGGAGAGTTTAACTTGCTGTTAAAGTATACACAGGACGTATTTGGAGAACAGTACACACACATCTCTGACCTGATACTGTACAGTTCTTCAGCAGAAATGTAGAGAACAAGTTTCACTGCTCAACTACAATGCTGAAACTGTACAGTGTTAATATGAGATATAATATCACGCTTAATGTGAGAACTGCCCTAGTGCACTGACATATTTAACAGCTTTGATTCATATCTGGACACTAGAAGAGCAGTGAAGTATCAAAGTATCTGTATTCACAATAAAAAAGGCCAGTGCTGCTCCACATACTTGAGTTTGTCCAGTGTGTAGTTTGGATCCTCCAGTTGTTCAGAGAGCAGCTTGACTCCTGAATCTCCTGGATGATTGTAGCTCAGATCCAGCTCTCTCAGGTGTGAGGGGTTTGAAGTCAGAGCTGAAGACAGAAAACCACAGCCTTCCTCTGTCACCATACAGCCAGACAATCTACAAACACAGCAATAGTCCACATCACACAGTTGGACAATCACACATCTCTTTGTGTTGTGAAGATGCTGACTGCTGTTTCTGCTCATGTCAACAGCAGTGATGAACACACACATCCTGATCAGCTCTCCTTATTGATCGAGCCCTCGCATCAGCAAACACACACACACACACTCAACAAGGACTCGAAATCATCTGTAGAAGTGTACAGAGCAAAGACATTGTTCATAATACACCACATCAAGCTGTAAAGTCTGCTGTGAGGAGGAAGAAGACACACTTGAGCTCAGAAGATCATCTTAAAGTCATGTATAAAACACAACAGAAAATGAGCTGATTTCATCATTTATATTGTGATTCTGTTGTGGATTAAAACAAAATGAGCTCAGACAAACACAAAGCTGCTCTCTTCATGTGTTCATCACCTGAGCCACAGTCACATTCCCCTGTCAGTCAGACACGAGCCCTGATCAATAAGAGACTGAGCTGAAGGAAAATGAGTGAGTGATCTTCAATCTGCTTCAACACACACACATCTGTATAGATATAAATAAATCACAGCCCTGCAGATGTTTAGTTTCTTCTTCTGCCAATCCACTAAAGGGGCTCCACATCTGGTAACACCTGTTCACACTGCTGTTAAAGCAGGTAAATACACGTTTACACCTGTAATCTGAAAGCAGTGTTAGCGCTGCACTTTACCCAGGGTTATGAAGCGCTGCTATGGAGTGGTGTTAGCATTGTGTTTGTAATGTTAACACTGCATTGTGGTTAGGGATGCAATGATTAACCAGTTTCACTATTAAACATGCTTTAATTCATCACGGTTTATTAATCATAAAGACTTCTCAACATCGTTTTTCTGCATGGATCAAAACTGCAGCAACTAAACACAGTTATGGCCACTGTGCCGCGCTTTACACTTATAACCACACACACTGGAGTAACTATGACTTTGGGTATATAAGGCAAGTTCAGGCAAGTCTGTTATTTCCAATGGAGAGAGCTTTTGTGACTGCAGAAAATGCAAACGGCTGAAGTTTGAGGAAGACGCAATGAAAAGTCCACAGGTTTGTAAACCCACCTACAGTTACAAACAATGGCGGCGATGAGAGCGATGATGAGGTGAATGTTGATCCGCCAGCCGAGAGAGAGTTTTCAGAGAGAGTGCTAAAAGACTCAGAGTGTCTCCGCTGATTAATGGCCTGAATCTCGATGTTCAGCACAAATGTCTGCTAGATGTAAAATCTAACACTCGACACGTCATCGCCAAAGAAGCTCGCCTTTACTAAGTTCACACTGAAACTGCAGCTCATGATGAAGAACTGTACGGTTTTGAGCCGGTGGTCATCGTGAGAATCCTGCTCATATATTGGGTTTACTGATGATGACTGTGCAGCTTCCAGACACCTTGAAATAAATTATTCATTATAATATTTTGTTTTCTAGCAGAAATATTCATTATTAATTGACATGCATATAAAACAATCAATATATAATAAAACAATAGTGCAAAATAAATATTTCTTTCTGCAGTGCTTCATTTTTGTTTGATGACAGTTTATTTTCATAAAGTAACAGTAGTAAACAGCAGTAAACAGACTTTTTATAGCAGATAACTCACATTCAAGCTCATTGGAGAAAGCCTGATGATGAGAAATGTTATTCATTGTTAGTATTATTGTCATCATCATCATCATCAATATTGTTTTATTATTATTATTATTAATTATTAGACATTAATTTTGGATTTTAATATCAATAAGTCATTATGATTACAGAATTAGTTGGATAAATATTTCTGCTATTTGTTAGTCCTGATTGAGGACGTTTTTAAATGCGATACATCTGTTAATAAACTATTTGCAGTGGCGCTCCTGCATTTATTCTGGCGCTCCTTATTCTGGCACTCCTACATTTATTCTGGCGCTCCTTCATTTTTTCTGGCGCTCCTCCATTTATTCTGGCGCTCCTGCATTTATTCTGGCGCTCCTGCATTTATTCTGGCGCTCCTACATTTATTCTGGTGCTCCTACATTTATTCTGGCGCTCCTCCATTTATTCTGGCGCTCCTGCATTTATTCTGGCGCTCCTGCATTTATTCTGGCGCTCCTGTATTTATTCTGGCGCTCCTGCATTTATTCTGGCGCTCCTACATTTATTCTGGCGCTCCTGCATTTATTCTGGCGCTCCTCCATTTATTCTGGCGCTCCTCCATTTATTCTGGCACTCCTGCATTTATTCTGGCGCTCCTGCATTTATTCTGGCGCTCCTCCATTTATTCTGGCGCTCCTCCATTTATTCTGGCACTCCTGCATTTATTCTGGCGCTCCTGCATTTATTCTGGCGCTCCTGCATTTATTCTGGCGCTCCTGCATTTATTCTGGCACTCCTGCATTTATTCTGGCGCTCCTGTATTTATTCTGGCGCTCCTGCATTTATTCTGGCGCTCCTGCATTTATTCTGGCGCTCCTGCATTTATTCTGGCGCTCCTACATTTATTCTGGCGCTCCTACATTTATTCTGGCGCTCCTGCATTTATTCTGGCGCTCCTGCATTTATTCTGGCGCTCCTGCATTTATTCTGGCGCTCCTGCATTTATTCTGGCGCTCCTACATTTATTCTGGCGCTCCTACATTTATTCTGGCGCTCCTCCATTTATTCTGGCGCTCCTGCATTTATTCTGGCGCTCCTGCATTTATTCTGGCGCTCCTGCATTTATTCTGGCGCTCCTACATTTATTCTGGCGCTCCTACATTTATTCTGGCGCTCCTGCATTTATTCTGGCGCTCCTACATTTATTCTGGCGCTCCTACATTTATTCTGGCGCTCCTACATTTATTCTGGCGCTCCTGCATTTATTCTGGCGCTCCTACATTTATTCTGGCGCTCCTGCATTTATTCTGGCGCTCCTGCATTTATTCTGGCGCTCCTGCATTTATTCTGGCGCTCCTACATTTATTCTGGCGCTCCTGCATTTATTCTGGCGCTCCTGCATTTATTCTGGCGCTCCTGCATTTATTCTGGTGCTCCTACATTTATTCTGGCGCTCCTGCATTTATTCTGGCGCTCCTACATTTATTCTGGTGCTCCTACATTTATTCTGGCGCTCCTCCATTTATTCTGGCGCTCCTGCATTTATTCTGGTGCTCCTACATTTATTCTGGCGCTCCTGCATTTATTCTGGCGCTCCTGCATTTATTCTGGCGCTCCTGCATTTATTCTGGTGCTCCTACATTTATTCTGGCGCTCCTACATTTATGCAGGATGTACAGTTAATAAATCATCTGATAATTAATACTCTGGGTGGTTATTTGTTAACTACAGGTATAGTATGAGCAGTGTGATAAACCATAATTCCTGTCATCCGGGGTTTAGTATCACCCAGGGTTAACATGTTCAAGCATGAATATCTAATATGAAATAATGTGGGCTATTATGAAATATTCTTGTAGTTATTGTAGAGTGGAGAATCATTTACCTCAGTGTCTCCAGTTTACAGTGTTGACTCTTCAGTCCATCAGAGAGCTTCTTCACTCCTGAATCCTGCAGGTCATTGATACTCAGGTCCAGCTCTCTCAGCACACAGTTTGAGGATTGTAGAACTGAAGACAAACTCTCACAGGAATCAGCAGTGAGTTTACACGTAACAAATCTGAGAAATAAGAAGACAAATCAAATTTAGATTGTATTTTTTTGTCACTCACTTCATGTAAATAATAACTTTAATCAATCAATCAATCAATCAATCAATCAATCAATCAGTCAGTCAGTCAGTCAGTCAGGTGTTTGAATTCAGACCTCAGTGTGTCCAGTTTACAGTGTTGACTCTTCAGTCCATCAGAGAGCTTCTTCACTCCTGAATCCTGCAGGTCATTGTTACTCAGGTCCAGCTCTCTCAGCACACAGTTTGAGGATTGTAGAGCTGAAGACAAACTCTCACAGCACTGAACAGTGAGATTACAGCTCTGAAGCCTGTGAGGGAAAAACAGAAATAATGATTTTGCATTTATCTATTAATCCAGAGCAGAGACAAAAACGTTTAAACATTGTGTTTTAGTTTGAGCAAAGGTAAAATCACTATATGGACTCTGTAAATACTGAATTTAAGGGAGAATACAAGGCTGTAAAATAAACATAAAAGTATTCTTTACCTAACAATTCACAGTTTTGTGTGATAATTAATTATTAGTTATCATTATTAAAAACTTTCTCCATTTTCCAAACTCATGTTAACAGATTAGAGCTATCAGTTTTTAAAGGTGAGATTATATTATTGTATTGTGTAAAAAGAGAATCAAAGTATTGAAAAGAATGTCTGAAAGTGGAGTTAACATAAGCAGAACAGATATTGTGTACAGCAGGAGATCAGTGATACATATTTGATGTGAAAGCACAAATAGTCTGTGCTGTTTCTGCTCTGCACACATATGACTCACGGGCTGCAGATGTGTTGCAAATCGATGTGTGAAATGGGCATAAGTGTGTTCATAAGACTCTTACAGTGCTCTTGTGGTGTTCTTGACCACTGGCATCAGTCTCATCAGTGCTTCATCAGATCTTCTGTACTTCTGCAGTTCAAACTTCTCTTGAGTCTCTTCTGACATCAGGAGCACAAACACCAGACCCGACCACTGAGCAGAGGACAGATCCTGTCTTGTAAGATTTCCAGAGCTCAGACTCTTCTGAAGGTCCTCCACAAAGTCATCTTTCAGTTCATTCAGACAGTAGAAGAGGTTGATGGTCCTCTCTGCTGATTTCTCCTCCTCTATTTTCTTTTTGATATAGTCAGTCGTGTCTTTGATGTTCTCAGTTTTGGGCTTCAGTCCTGGCAGGAACTTCTTCAGGTCACTCTGATTAGACTCCAGTGAGAGACCCAGCAGGAAGCGGAGGAAAAGGTCCAGGTGTCCATTCTTGCTTTGTAAAGTCTTCTTGACTGCATCCTTGTGAAGTCTAAACAGGGTCTTTGTAGAGAGTTTCCATGCCAGTTCCTTTTTCCAGGAATCAAGAAATAGATTTGCTTTCTTGTCTTTGTAAGTGAAAAACACATAGAGAGCAGCGATGAACTCCTGAACGCTAAGATGAACAAAACTGTACACCTGTTCCCCTGAGATGGGGTTTTCCTCCTGAAACATTCGAGTACATAATCCAGAGAACACAGACCCTTCCTTGACCTCTAGCCCACACTTCTCCAGATCTGTTTTGTAGAAAATCAGATTTCCTTTCTGCAGCTGTTTAAAGGCCAGTTTTCCCAGCTTCAGGACAATGTCTTCAAAAGACCAGGCCTTGGCTTCAGGTTCAGAATCGTTGCTGTATTTTTCTGTCATCTGTTGCTTTTGAGACAGTAAGTAGCTGCTGTACATCTCTGTGAGAGTTGTGGGTGTTTTTTCATTGCTCTCTTGACCCAGCAGAGGCTGAAGAACAGTGAGAGAGATCCAGCAGAAGACAGGGATGTGGCACATGATGTACAGACTCCTGGATTTCCTGATGTGACTGATGATGTTTCCAGCAACCTCAGCACTGCTGTTTTTGATGAAGTACTGCTCCTTCTGTTCATCACTGAATCCTCTCACCTCAGTCACCTGATCAATGTAGATTTGGGGTATCAGACTGGCTGCTGCTGGTCTGGATGTGATCCAGATGAGGGAAGAGCGTAGCAACTTTCTCTTTAAGAGATTTACTACTATCTTACTCACTGTCATTTCCTTATCAACATCTGTAAAGCCATCCTCCTCTTTAAAGTTCAATTCAAAGCGATATTCATCCAGTCCATCAAAGATGAACAGGACCTTGCCTTGTTTTTCAGGAAGAGAGCTCAGTCCTCCACTGCTAAAGAAGTACTTGTTAAGCAGACCTATGAGACTGGACTTTTCTTCTTTAATCAGATTCAGTCTACGGAACGGCAGTGGAAATATGAAGACTATTTCCTGATTGTCTTTTCCTTCAGCCCAGTCAAGGATGAATTTGTTGACAGAGACAGTCTTTCCCACTCCTGCGATCCCCAGTGTCAGGACTCTTCTGTTTTGTTGACCTGTGTCAGGCTGAACTTTAAACATGTCATTACACTTCAGTGGTTTATCCTCGGCTGTCTGTTGGTTGTGTTTTGACTCTATCTGCATCACCTCATGGTCATTTTCTCTTCCTCCAGTCTCGTTCTCCACCACATATAGATCAGTGTAAATATCATCCAGCTTCTTCTGGTGACCCGTCTGTGAATTACCAAGCAATATCTGCTTATAGTCCTCCTTTAACTTCTCCTTTAGCTCACGGCTGGTGTTTGTGTAATCAACAGGAGGGGATTTACAGGTCTCTGAAGCTGCACCTTTACAAGAGAGAGGAACAATTAGTGTTTTTATTAAAGTGAATTATAATTATGTCCTGTGCTTTTCAATATAAAAAATAACAACAGCACTCATGAAGTCATTTGTTTCATCATTTAAATGACGTGACACCTGTATGGTGTTGAATGAGCAGGGGTAGGTGATTTGACTTGAATCTTATATTGTATTGATGTAAACAAAGTTGATTACTCAGAATAATTCAGGATGTTTCAAAAATAATTCTCCAGAATTACAGTGTGTCTATTACAGGTTTTTGAATTACTGCTGATCATTTGCTGTCTCAATGTTTCCTGACCTTTCAATTTATTTAGTTATTTTTATTTTTCCCCACAGGAACAACTATCTGCAAACAAAGCATGCACACAAATTTAGAGATATTTTATTTTTAAAAGAATAAAAAATAATAGTTTTTGTCCCCAGAAAAAGGCTCTTTCATTTGAAGAAGAAAAGCTTCAGGGGCTCAAGCCCTGCAAAGCGAGATCCAAGGACAACTACATTATTATTTAAGAAGTGCACAGTGTGAGCCGGTGTTCTTGTTCCAGTAATGTTTATTTTACAACTGATCTTTGTTCTTGTTTTCCTTTGCTCAACTCTATTTTCCATCATTGTTCATTCTGTCTGTGCAAATGAGTAGTAAATGATTGTTTTGATAGTTTTATCCGTGGAGGTCTTTTCTCTTTGTAAAGCATGAATTGTGTAAAAGGCTTGATAGAGATCTTGCAGTTGAATTATGATTCTGCTAATGCTCAGTTCCCCTTCGGGGGGAACTACAGCACTATAAGTGGATTGATGTTAAATCTACGTATGTGAGATTCGGTTCAGAAGCTACTTGTTTGAAAGAGTATTGAACGGGCCAATTAAGAATGAATTGGCAGCGCAAGCTTGCGCAGGTGTACTGCATAGGCTTAATTAACTGAGCATATAAGCACACCTGGCGCCAGCAGACGCTATCCTTTTCGCTTCAGAGACTTTTCTGATCGAGCTTCATGAGGGTTCCTCCTGCTGTCTACAGCCACTTCGAGCGAACGAGTGTCTCCCGGTCCAGAGCGAGTCCACGCAGCGGCAGACGGTCGAGCTGGGTTTCTCCCTTGCCTGGCGTCCCTTTGGGTCCGGTCCTCCAAGAGCGGTGCGTATTGCTGCAAAGCATTCTAAAAGAGCAACACAGTCGTGCAGCACGTCCTTTTCAGGATGGCGCTCCGACTGTGCGTTTCTGGTTGCGGGGGTTTCCTGGCTCCGGATGATGGGCACGATCACTGCATTACATGTTTGGGGGTCCAGCATGTTAATGTGGTGCTCGGGGGCGGTTCATGTCGTCACTGCGATGCCATGACCGTTGCGCAGTTGAGATCGCGGTTAGCTTTCGTAAGAGAGCGAGCCACCCCAGTCGCCCCCTGCTCTGCAGCGGGTGCTCGGGCAGATCTGAGGGCTCCAGCGAGAGATAATCTGCCGCCCAAGGGCTCGCGGACCTCTCACTTCTCCAAGCGCTCCATCCAAGCTTCAGGTACTGGGAGTGATCCGTCTAATCAGATGGTAGCTCTCACGCTCGCTGACACTGGAGATCAGATGTCCTCCGCGGCATCGGAGGGTGGGCTTTCATTGTCCGACGATGATCCGGACCCGCTCGCCCCCTCTGGGCAAGCGAGCGCCGTCAAAATGGTTCCTGAAGCGGACATGTTGGCCGTGCTTTCTCGGGCTGCTTCGGCCGTCGGGTTGGAGATGGTTTATCCCCCAGCCCCGTGGTCGGACCGACTAGATGGGTGTTACGTAGAGGATCAAAAGGCGAAGCCTTCGAAGCCTCTCGTCCCCTTCTTCCCGGAGGTGCACAGTAGGCTCACGCAGTCCTGGAGGGCACCTTTCTCTGCCCACGCTGCGTCCGCCTCCGCCCTCACCACCCTGGATGGTGGAGCTGCCAGGGGGTATGAGGAGATCCCGCAGGTGGAGCGCGCCATTGCGGTCAATCTTTGTCTGCGTGACGCCCCCGCTTTGCGCGGTCCGTCCCGTCTCCCGTCCAAAGCCTGTAGGTTATCTGCCTTCCGCCTTGCACGCGATGGCCACCTACCAGCGCTACCAAGCGCAGGCGCTGGCTGAGCTGCACGAGGGTGGATCTAACCCAGGCTTGTTACACGAGCTGCGCATGGCGACCGACTATGCTCTCCGGACCACTAAGTCCGTCGCGTGCGCACTGGGGAAGACGATGTCCACACTTGTGGTCCAGGAACACCATCTCTGGCTAACCCTGGCAGATATGCGCGATGTTGACAAAGTTCTCTTTCTTGACACGCCCATATCCCAGGCTGGCCTGTTCGGCGACACTGTCAGTGAATTCACCCAGGAGTTCAAGGCGGTGAAGGAGCAGTCGGATGCGATGGGCAATGTCATCTATCGACGGGGCCGTAAGCCCGCTCCATCCCCGGCCGAGCCATCCACCTCCGCTGCTCCTTTTCCTGTTTTCCTTCCCCGGATGTGACAGCTCAAGCCCTGCCAGTCTGGGACGCGCTGCCTCTCAGCTCGCAGGGTTTGCATGCTCCGCCAGCGGCTCTCGGGCGCTGGGGGGACGGTCTCCCTTCTCCCAGCCCCCAAGCCCCCTCTCAGGAGTTAGGGTGCGGAGCCAGAGCGAATTGCTTTCCTCCAGCT